ATTTTTTTTTACAGTATCGTATTGAAGTTGCAGCATTGTGAAAAAACTACACTGTAAGACATATAAATGCCTTGACATACCAGTTATTTTGTCCCATTTGAGGACATTCACTTATAGTTGCTAGCATTGGCTGTTTACGTTTATATGTCGCCCAGATGGGCGCACAGCTGCAACAGAAGAGATGCCGAAAAACTGATGCTGCAAGTGTTGTTAATTGATATCGTTGATGTTAATACAAAATACTGATATTATGTTGTTAATGTACAAAGTGTTCTTTTTTTTTACGTATCCAGCATCTTACCAAGCAAGCTGCCATTAAAATCAACCATCTTTATACAATAACACCAACCAGAGTTAACCAGCTTGAAAAATCATTTACTTCATAGTAGTTGAAACATTTCACTGAGAGTGTTTATGCTCCATGCCTGTATGCATAAATGCTGTGGGTTGTGTTTGAATGATGAATTAGCATGTGAAACACCTAATGCCTTATTCCTCAGGAAACGTGCTACAGCACGAGTTCCACATGATAAAACAATAACAAAGTCATGTTTTATAGTCTTCATGCATTTGTTTTCTATATATCTTTGTTGAAATGTGAAAAAAAACACACAATGAAACATGAACAAAACATTTGTGATATATTATGAAGTGGTGCTGATCAGATTAATAAATTTTTTTAAATGTAATGACTGTATTTTATTATTTTTTGTGTGTATAATCCTCTCACGAAGCCTTTGCTTCTGATTTGATATATTTGTATTTTTTAATAATTGAATTTGTATACTTTTTATACGATTTTTGTGTTTTACTGTAATAAATGACATTAACTCGTAACAAGTGGAATCTGTGAGTTTATTTTTATTTTTTTTCTCAGAAAAGTATTCAAAAATAATTGAAATAAGTTACACTGAGTTATTAGAACAATCATTGTGCGTGTCTGTACATTTTGGAATGTAATTTCAAATTTGATGGATTGAAACGTTCACCTTTAAAGGTTTTAGGTTTTTACTCTGTCAGTTTCTGGTTTTGACACTAGAGGACATTCCAGTGGTATATTGTGCACTGCTTATAGTATACACACTTTATGTATAAGTGAAATATTAGGCAATTTATAACAAATGTTTGATACTGTCTTTACAAAAAAAAAAATCGGAAACAACTAGTAGTGACCATTAATAATAACCCTAATATAAGCACTGATATTTGATTGAGCGAGAAAAAAAACTAAACTGGATGATTTCGTCTTTCTGTCCTTGTTCTGGGTGATAATTAAGGTTAGCGTTGCAAGTCAATATTAGTGGATTTATGAGTTATTAAATGTTGAATGAATATTAATCTCATTCATGAAACACTCTATCTGGATCACAACACACATTTAAATATGCATTTAATATAGTTTTCTAGCAACACTGCTCCTTTATGTTAGCTACTCCCCCAAACTGATGAAAACTAAAGGCATTAGTATAACTGTCAAACATGGTACTATAAATGTCACAATAGCAAATCATACATTGCATTTATTCTTAAAACGAATCCCAGACATTGACAGACAAAACAGGATATGATCGTTACAAACATCTGTGAGATCAAGAATAGTTATATTGTTAGAACTCTTCAAACTAGCAGAGCTTGTCTACAGGGTCACAGCATGAGTTCATAAGATCATGGATTTATATTAACTGACAACACAAACGTGGTCTCGTTTTCTTTTGATTAATTGTTTTTTCGAATGTATACAATGTTTACTGACTAAAGAGTTTTTAGAGCTATTTAAGAGTGTTGATAGTGAAGTTTTCACATAAAATACATAATGTTATGGCATAATGTAAATAGGACCCACTTTATATTAAGTGTCCTTAACCACTACTTACTTTTAAATTAATCGGTTCATACAATGGACTTATTGTGTGCATACATGTTTTTACACTTTGTACTTATATTTGAAAATACCATCCTGTTAAATACATTCGTAAGTATTTCTGCGGTTACATCTATAATTACACTGTTGACCCTACCCCTTAAACCTAACCAGACCTCCAAACCTGTCCCTAACTTTACCAATATCCCACCTTAATAGCAGAAAAAGTGTTTTGCATGTTTTGCAAAACACAATATGTACACTGTACCTAAAAATTCATTATTTTATTATTTAGTACATAGAATTTATAGAATTTAAATAAAAAGTGAGACCTGTAAATATCTGATCTCATTTAATGTGTTTGACAGATCATTATACAGATGCAAAAAAACACATTAAAATCTGACTCACTGCTAAAATAATACAATACTAAATGCAGAGGTTAAACTTTCTTACCAGTTTGCGTGTTTTTCTTTTGTAGAACGTTGTCTCGGCATAAGTTATTTCTTCATCACAAGTCTGAACTGTTTAAAGGACAATAATAGTAGAAATAAGCACAAATAAAACACAAATAGATCTGTTTTTCACAACATATAGTAAGCATTTTGTAATGCCATTATTAAATTACAAGAAATGAATTAATTGCATTTATGAATTTGGCATGATGATGGTTCACAAATACATAAAAAAAAGATCTTAACAGAGTATGCAATAATTATAACAATATTCATGACTTTTTAATTTTTATTGAAGCTCAACAAATTACATTGTCATTCCTAGAAATGTTAATTTGAACACCAGCAGAGGGCTGAATCTTTAAAACATATACGATTTCTAGGGCTATCAATTAATTAAAATGTTTAGATTATTTTTTAAATACTTGTTTAAAACCAGTAACACTTGCCTTCTTGATCGGGTCTTCTACATTTCCTGTAGATGCAGAAGATCCCAATTACAACTACAATCAACAGAGATCCAGCAGCTGCAGAGATCAGCGCTATTAGAGGTGAGTCTTGATATGAAGGAGAATTTGAGTCCAGTGCTGTAAGAATAAAGCTAGAAGTGAATGTGTCAGTCTGATTTACAACAATATACAGAGATCATATCATAAAACTGCTGCTTTACCTAAACATGGTTGACAGAGTTGAGTGATGTTGATGTTGTGTTGAGTCTGGTTGCTGATGGGATTGTTGAGCACACAGCTGTAGCTGTTTTTATCCTGATATTCCACCTCCAGAGGTAGAGAGAGACTGATGCTGAGATCAGACACACTGATGCTGGACAATAAACTGTTTCCTTTGTACCAGGAGAGAGTCACATGACTCACATTCACAGCTGAACACAGAAGTGAACAATTCTGACCTGATGATCCTGATGATGATGATGATCCTGATGATGAAGAACATTTTGAAGAGTCTCTGGTGATGACAGGAAAAGGAAGAGCAGCTGAAAAACATTTCAAATAAAAAAAGTTGTTCAGCAAAAACAATTGAACATCATTACATTGGTAATGATGCCAGTTATATTTGCATACTAAACTGACTTTTCATTCTTACACCAATTTAACCATCTAAACTATAACAATAAAATTCTCTTTCTAAATGTGGCTTTACAGATTTGTCTTACTATTATTGTACGTAAAACTTCAACACTATTGTCTTTCTTCCTTCTATTCATACGTATTTCCATCAGGAAATATAAAACAATAGCCATTATAAGAGAACTGTCTTGCAACACAGGGTGTAGAAAATAAGTTTCACTCACACTTTGGTTTGTCATTAAATGCTTATAAATCACAGATGAATCAGGAGAAAAAATGTTTTAATTTTGAGAATCATCACAGTCTGGATCATCATGGGCAGGACACCAGTTACTCACCATAGACAGTAACACTGGATCTCTTGTATGAGTTTCCTCTGTTGCTGAGGATCAGTAGTTTATAAAGTCCAGTGTGTTCAGTTCTGATGTTTCTGATGGTCAGAGATCCAGTTTCATTGTCCATCTGGAGTCTTTTCTCAAATATTGTATTAGTGGCATCTATATAGATGTTCTGTCTGTGGATTTCAGCTATTCGCCTCTCTTGAGGGCCAAACATCCACAGCATCTGATCATCTCTCTGCATTTTAACATCAGTGTTTAGAGTGACAGAATCTCCCTCCAGCACTGATACTGACTTCATTACATCTGTATCACCAAACACACCTGGAGAAAAACAGTTTATATAGCAAATGAAAAACCTGTTTAAGTTCAAACAGAATATTAATGAGGAAGATCCACCAGGACAAATGTTATTGCTCTTAAGGCAAGACACTTCAGGCAAATCAGAAAAGTATTAAAAAATAACTGAAATTAGTTACACTGAGTTATTAGAACAATCATTGTGCGTGTCTGTACATTTTGGAATGTAATTTCAAATTTGATGGATTGAAACGTTCACCTTTAAAGGTTTTAGGTTTTTACTCTGTCAGTTTCTGGTTTTGACACTAGAGGACATTCCAGTGGTATATTGTGCACTGCTTATAGTATACACACTTTATGTATAAGTGAAATATTAGGCAATTTATAACAAATGTTTGATACTGTCTTTACAAAAAAAAAAATCGGAAACAACTAGTAGTGACCATTAATAATAACCCTAATATAAGCACTGATATTTGATTGAGCGAGAAAAAAAACTAAACTGGATGATTTCGTCTTTCTGTCCTTGTTCTGGGTGATAATTAAGGTTAGCGTTGCAAGTCAATATTAGTGGATTTATGAGTTATTAAATGTTGAATGAATATTAATCTCATTCATGAAACACTCTATCTGGATCACAACACACATTTAAATATGCATTTAATATAGTTTTCTAGCAACACTGCTCCTTTATGTTAGCTACTCCCCCAAACTGATGAAAACTAAAGGCATTAGTATAACTGTCAAACATGGTACTATAAATGTCACAATAGCAAATCATACATTGCATTTATTCTTAAAACGAATCCCAGACATTGACAGACAAAACAGGATATGATCGTTACAAACATCTGTGAGATCAAGAATAGTTATTGTTAGAACTCTTGAAACTAGCAGAGCTTGTCTACAGGGTCACAGCATGAGTTCATAAGATCATGGATTTATAGTGAGATGGATATGCCCTTGAACATCAAGTTTATATGTCACAAACACAAGCACATGATGTTTTGATTGGAGATAATCTTTTCTCTCTCTCGCTCTCTCTTTTGTGTACAGAAGAAAAATGTGTCAATCTGTTAAAATCATGGGCAGAAATGGAAAAACACCCTACAACCACATGCTATAGACACAGACACAGTGTTGACACCTCAGACACAAACTCATGAACAGACATCAAACACAAACATACAGCAGCAGACACATTCTCATGCAGAAGATGTTTGTCTACCAAACCGCATTTCACAGAATGAAGAGGTTCACTTCAGCTTGTTTTGATGAACATTTTACATTTATGGTGAGCAGATATACATCTCCTCAATTAGTTTTTAGACCCAAAAAATGAATATTCTGTCATTTACTCACACTCATGTCATTTCAAACACATAAATTTGAACACCAGCAGAGGGCTGAATCTTTAAAACATATACGATTTCTAGGGCTATCAATTAATTAAAATGTTTAGATTATTTTTTAAATACTTGTTTAAAACCAGTAACACTTGCCTTCTTGATCGGGTCTTCTACATTTCCTGTAGATGCAGAAGATCCCAATTACAACTACAATCAACAGAGATCCAGCAGCTGCAGAGATCAGCGCTATTAGAGGTGAGTCTTGATATGAAGGAGAATTTGAGTCCAGTGCTGTAAGAATAAAGCTAGAAGTGAATGTGTCAGTCTGATTTACAACAATATACAGAGATCATATCATAAAACTGCTGCTTTACCTAAACATGGTTGACAGAGTTGAGTGATGTTGATGTTGTGTTGAGTCTGGTTGCTGATGGGATTGTTGAGCACACAGCTGTAGCTGTTTTTATCCTGATATTCCACCTCCAGAGGTAGAGAGAGACTGATGCTGAGATCAGACACACTGATGCTGGACAATAAACTGTTTCCTTTGTACCAGGAGAGAGTCACATGACCCACATTCACCACTGAACACAACAATGAACAATTCTGCTGTGATGATGATGATGATGATGATGATGATGATGAAGAACATTGTGAAGAGTTACTGCTGATGACAGGAACAGGCAGACGAGCTGAAAACATGAGAGAATGAACAGAAACCTGGGTAAATCCAGTCAACAATCTTACTTTTGGTTCAGTGTTTCAGATTCAGAATCAGAATGAGCTTTTATTGCCAGGTATGTCAGTGAGTGTTTAGTGTAAATACAGTGAGTGAGTGTGTCTGTGATCGAAAAATCTAAAATTATTAAACATGTAAATACTTAATAAAATAAGAATATGTGAATATCAGGACAAATTATCTCTACTCACCATAAACAAAAATATTGAATGTTTTTGATAGCAGTTTTGCTCCACTTATCTCTAGTTTATAATGTCCAGCGTGTTGAGTTGTGATGTTTGTGATGGTCAGAGATCCAGTCTGTTTGTTCAGCTTTAGTCTGTCTCTGAATCTCTCATCAGGAAGATCAAATGTAGAGTTTTGTTTGTTTCTTTTGATTTTAGCGACCAAAGAGTTTCCGGCTCCAAATTTCCACAGTATGTGGCCATTTTCATTAATTTCTGTTACATCAGTGTTTAAAGTAACAGAATCTCCCTCCATCACTGACACCATCTGTATTTTATTTGTTTCAGCACCAAACACACCTGAAGAACATTAACAGGAACAAATGAAAGCTTCTGATGGTTTCTAAAGCCTGAAATCAGCTGTAAATTTAATTGTTTAAATATGAACCGAATAACATCCAGAACAGCAGCAAAGACACAGAAGCAAAGTGAAAGTTGAGATACATGAAAATACAGATAAGCATGATACAATACCTTTATCTTTATATAGTTTAAACTTATCCAATTTTCGTAATTTATTTTTAAAAATAAATACACAGTAATTGTAGCTTGAAAGTTTCATTCTGCTCGAAACCGCAGAAGTATTTTTACTAATATTTTTGAGAAATTGCTGGTAATAATTGAATTTATAGAGAGAAAAGATATTTAAAGAAACAAAAGACGCCTAGAATTTGAAAGTGGTTCAGTTGAAGTTTTGGCTTTCTGATCAAGATAAATTTATTGTCAGAAGTCATGGAAATTTCAAATTAAAATTATGATTAAAACGGAGAACTAAATTCTAAGTAAATGTCATGATATTGATTCATCTGGTATATAACAGTAGAAAACTGAAAGAAACTTAAAGAAATTACACCGTAAAAATGCTTTTATAACTTACCCATCAGACTCGACCAGCACAAACAGAACAAGCAGAACAAAACAAGTGTGTGAAGCATGTTCTTTAAGGGTTCAGTGAAAAGTCTGATCTAATGTCCGCTGCTGTCTGCTGAAAACTCTCAACCTGTTGATCTGGTGATGAATCCTCAAGAATTTAATACCTTCACTAGTTCATTCTGACCATGCACATACTCGCATTTATTACAGTGCTTACAGTAATTGCATTGAGACACAGCCAATGTGTAGCTGTGGTGTCTCTGCTAGTCTGCATTATTACATCACCCGACAGTGAAAGAAGGCATGTGTCACGGTCGGTGGTAGTAGTGTGAGGAGCGCGGAACGAGGAGACCAGGAGTACGAAACCAAGGGATTTATTCTTGTAACAGGGAATCACACGTAGCACGAGGAGAAGACATCAACATAGAATTCCAGACAAG